AAAAAAAGTGTGTGCAATAATTTTTTAACGTTGTCTTGATATTACTATAATAATAGTTTTTATTATTCTCTACAATTTCATTAATCACACAACTAATTTTTTCTTCTGTTTTTTTTTTATTTTTATTTTATTTCTGCTGACAGTAATTTATTCTCGGGGTCCCCAGATACTTCAGTTGGTAGTCTCTGATATGTAAATATGTCAGTATTAACATTCTTTTTAGGATTATGATTTTTTGTCATAGTCCTCAATATTATCATTATGAGTTTAAAAAAAAAAATCTAAAAACTTCCCACTTACTACTGAACAATGTTTAAATTCTTGTGCACCCACACATTTGATACCACCTGTAAGAGAGCACAGGGCTGCACACGAGCGAGAAAATCAAGCCTAGTTGTGTTTTTTTCCACTGTGGAAGAAAATACACTCTGTTCCTGGTTCCCCACAGTGTCCTGAGCCACTTGATTCTTTAAAGAAAATGCTAACAACGCCCCTGCACAGTTAGTTGTGATGTTAGATTTCTTTTTTTTGTTTGTTTTTTATGCAGTTGAGCAATAACGAATTAATTTGAAAACCAAACCACTTGAAGGAAGTCGTATTAATGGCTAATAACCGGATTAATAACCGGAAATAGGTGCATTTTAAAAGGTTTTGACGCAGGAAAAATACATTACCGGCATTTTAATTTTAATTATTTATTTTTTTCCTTAAGTTTTCTTTCCTTTCTTTTTTTTCCTTTCTCACTTTTGTTAGTCTATCAGGACGTCAGACACGGTTAGCGCTGTGTTCTCGGCGTTTTGACGCAGGTGGAAAAGACGCAAATTTGCATTACGGGAAAGGCCGTTGTTCTCCCTTCAGCCACGGCAACCAGCACGCGCAAGCGTGGAGAGTTGAAGATAAATGGACTTTTCACGCACACTTTGGGAACTCTCATCGCATTATTCCCAAAGCAGGAAACTGATAACCAGAATGTTAGCAGTAAGGTGAGCCGTTAAAATGTGTTTTCGTTGTATGGACGAAACATTAAATTTTAAACCTCCGGCACGCGCGTCTCCGTTCATTTAATTTTGTATTTATTCATTTCTCAGTGATGATTTCCCTTTTTCTGGCCTTTCGGCTGAAAACCTGAGGCGTCACAGTTCTTATTATTTTAGTGTTCGTGTGATTTTAATATGTCGACAGCTTTTTAACAAATACAATTAAGAAAACAGAGTAAATAAAATAGGAAAACGCAGATAAATACAGCAGCGGGCCTTAAAAGCTGCAGTCAGACATGATTTATTGGCGCGCGGGGCGTTCGTGCGCAACCGTTTAAATTAGACCGTAACCCCGCCCCGGTTTGTACTTAAACACAACAACAAAAAAATTAGTTAATTTAGATGTTATAATAATTTAATATTGTCTAATAATTTTAATCCGTGTAAAATGCTGCATTTATTTTCAGTCTGGAGGAGGAAGGTTGATTCGTTTCTATTTAAAGCGGACTCCGGGCCTCCTTTGTCACAGGTGAGTTTATTCTTTACGAAATATTTAAGTCGTCTTCAGAATAAAATGCATTTTAATGCTGCTTGATTAAATGCATTCAAAATAGCTACTGTATCGGCCTGTCAGCAATAAAATAGACTTATGGTTTGGACTATTGTCTTTCAACAAATAGTTAGAAAATTATGCTTGTTGAAGATTTTTGTTCCCAGATTTTTTAAATACAGGAAAAACACGTGGTTAAAATTTTATTTTTGTGTGACTGAGGTCAAAGTTTGGCTTTATTTGTTTGCATCATTGTTCAGTAGATGAATGAAGTCAGAGGGTGCTTTCCCTCATCACCTCCTGACTCCACCCCCTCCACCCTCCTCTCACACACACA